GGAAACACAATGTTTCATCACTTGTATAGAAATAAATGTGACCTGGAGTAAGAATTTCAGAAAATACACAAAGTATTAGTTTCAGTTTGTTTTCATTAGTTATGTGATTTTTTTCACCTACTGAATCTCCTCTGTCCACAGTGTGAAACAGCAGTAATAATTTGACAAATATTTTACTTTCTAGAACATTTATACAATTTTTAGGAGGAAATAAAATGAAGTCTTCGAATTGCCACCTTGTTGTTACTTGTGATGTTCTAAATTTAAATCGTATGCACTTCTACAGAATTTAGGAATAAACTAGAAAATCATCTGATTAGGAAAGTTGTGTCTCTATGTGACTCTTCCTGTGAAAAGAACAAAAAGAGAAAGTTAAGACTTCGAAAATCTGTAACTGAGAAAATGAGACACCAAGTTCTTCCTTCTACTCTCTATGATCTGATCTGCCATGGAGAATTGGTTTTTTTGATCATGAAAAGGAAAAGGTGTCAGGCAACCATGGTAGTGTACACTGTAACACTGGTACAGGGAAGCTTCAGACAGAGAACATAGTGAGATCCATTTAAACAAGCAAAATAACCCTCCTAAATATGAAAACCAGCGGTCAAAAAGTTAGTGGTGAAATAGATGACTAAAGTGGTAGCTACAGAAATGCAGCTAAAGGCCACATTTTGATGGGAAAAAGAAATATGTGGTCTTCTGTGTCAAAAAAAAAAAAGTCAATGAGGCATGCTTAAGTCTTAAGAATGGTAGACCCCATGGTGTGATGGTTAGCACTTTGAACTTTGAATCCAGCGATCAGAGTTAAAATCTTGGTGGGACCTCACATCAATTAGCCAGGTGGTTGTGGCACACGCCTTTAATCCCAGCACTTGGGAGGCAAAGGCAGGCTGATTTCTGAGTTCGAGGACAGCCTGGTCTACAGAGTGAGTTCCAGGACATCCAGGGCTACATAAAGAAATCCTGTCTCGAAAAACAAAACCAAAGAAACAAAGAAACAAACAAAAAGTCTTAAGAATGGATGTAGAGTTGAAGTTCTTTTTGTTTTTCTGAACACTGGTTGAACATCTACCATATTCCAAGTACTAGGACTCAGTAGGTAAGAAAACCTTCCACCTAGCTCTTAAAATGACTAATGTTATCAAGAAAGTCATGTAAAACTTAGGCTTCTGTGTTCTGTTCGGGAAGCAGTGTTGTGGCTCTTATTCGTTTTATGAGAACATAGGAACCAGTCCTTCACCCTTAGTACCACATGAGCAGAGTTGGTATAGGCAGAAGTAGAATAAAATTCAGAAGATAGACTCACTAACTGAAGGCCAAGCAGGAGTTGGGCCCCCCACATTAAAAAAAAAAAAACCCAAAGATCACTCTGTACAGATGTACTAGGATACCTAGTCCAAGAACCAAAAGTTATATAGATCTGACTTCTAATTTGGAAGATGCAGTGCAAAGGGAGAAGGAAATAAAGCTGGAAAGATAAGCAAGAAGTAATCAGAATGAGCTCTGAAGTACAGGAAAACACTGGGATCAAATCTTGAAGGCAATACAACTCAAGCGATATTATGTTCACATATAGTTTATAAAATGTTGCTGTACTGCAGATAATGTATGGTGGTCAACATGGGGGAGAAGACAAATAGTATCATAGAGCCAGATTTTATTCATTTCCAATAATTCAAGCCCATCCCCAAAAGAAAGGACAAGAAGAACGACAAGGGGGAAGAGGAGGAGAGGGAAGGAAGAAAATGTTGATGTTTGAAATAAGGCTGAGTGAAGTAAAGCAAAGGAGAAATGCAGGAATGAGAGATAATTACGACATAGAGTCAATTCCATATGGGGCAATGAAAGAAAGCACTGTCAAAAGAGACAATTTGAGGGGTTTGGTTAGTTAGTTGGTTTGGTTGGTTGATTGGTTGGTTGGTTAGTTGGTTGGTTTGAGTTTATCCAATCATCTCTTTTATGCTTAAAAAAAGCAAAACACAAAACAACTCTTTGCATAATGACCACATTCACTAAGATGATAAAACACAAGTATTTCATGAGAAAGTAGGTGGATATATAACATATTTGTGAGGCATGCAATGGAGTAAAAAATGTGGACAGAAAAATTTTAACAGAAATCTGGGTTAGAGTTGCTTCCCTTCTGATCTGAAGTCATCAGTGATATGACTTTAGCATCTAAAGTGATAAAGCGAGTAAGATCATTCAAATGGGCAAACTGACAGGACACATGGGAAATCAGCCAAACCCTTAAAGACAGGCTTTGAATAAGAATAAGATTATCCCCAAAATTATGATCACCAGAAGTGTAGGAAGAAAATCTATTGAGTTTGGTGTCTTAGAACTCAAGAACAGATAATTCTGGAAGAAAGAGACTAGTATCAATAAATTAAATATTTCACGGAAAAATAGTATTACAGTTGAAAACAACATGGGCTTTGGAGAGCCCATGGAGAGTTTTTTGGTTTTGGGTTTGTTTTCCTTTTGGTTTTGTGGGGTGTGTGTGTGTGTGTGTGTGTGTGTGTGTGTGTGTGTGTGTGTGTATGAATGCTCATCATGTTTAAGGTAGAAATTGAGAGGGAGTGATGATGTAGCATCATTCAATTTCTGAAGAAATTGACATGTTGAGTTGGAAAATTAGTAAGAGTAATTTCGTTGGAAAATAAAATCTTGTATCACATGCACACTCTTATATGAAGCTCCTGATATAAATCAATTAGATGTGAAGTCACTTCCCACAGGAAGTGACCCAAATGTAAGCACAATACTGCAGTACAATAGGATCTATTTCTCAATGTTCTGCACAAACATTGAGGCATCCCTGGTATCTCAGACCTGAGTGGACTCACCTGAATCATGACAGTCAATATGATTTGATTATTAGAACATAACCTTAGTCAATTACTCTAAATTTACATTTTAGTTTACCTGTATTTGCCCAAGTGGCTTAACTAACATGACAAGTGTGTGCAAAGTCCTTAATATAGGACATATCATATAGGCCCTAATATAGGACATAATATAGGATATAATATATAGACATATATGTATATGACATACATGATATATGATATATGTGATACATTATATATAAATGATAACATATAATTTTATTATGAGTAATATTATCTGGAAGTAATATTCCTAATAGTTGAATTTTTCTTTTTAAGTTTGTGTGCTTTTATATAACAAATTGCATTGCCCCACATTTGGTTGCAAAAGTTTATGTATATGTCTTACATTTCATTGTAATTCAGTTGTAATTGTAACAGGAGTTTGGCTGGTTTCTTTAACTGCTACAGACATTCCTATTACAAGCTTGGGGTAATTGATGAAGTGCTAAAAACAGTTACGTTTGGCTCATTTGTGTACTGTCATTGATTATTTGTATCATACTTAGGGGCATTCAGAACACTGGCTTCCTCAAATAAAAATTAAAAACTATGCATATTAAACAAAAGAACAACTAAGCACTCAGGAACTCTGAGATGTAAGGCCAGCTGTAGTTCTTGATGGGATCACCTTTGACAAGCTATTATTCTCTGCTTCTCAGGATCTTGCTTAAAAAACTGGGTATGACCTTTCAGGTTCTTGTCTTAAGTATCTATATTGCAAGTGACTGAATAAGTCCAGGAAAATCATCTTTAACCCCAGAAGCTCCTAAGTATCATCGGTATCTCCCTGAAGACTGTTGTGTAGTTGTTTCTTTAAGCAGAAAATGTCCCAGCTGGGCAGGAACACAGTGTCTGTAATGGGTAGGACGAGTGGCAAGGAACAAGGCTCTTTGATTACTGAGCTCCTTCATCTTTTCTTGTCCTCTTGCCTCAGAAGTATACTTTCACAGCTACCACAGAGGCAGCCAAGTTTAAAAAGAGAAGAAAAAGGGAGAGTCACAGTCCACCCTAAGCCTCGCTATTTGTAATCAGTGTGTGGCTTCGGTGATGAAATTTGTGAGTAATTCACTTCCCACACTCCCCAGCAAAGCCCACCAGAGTGAGTTCTAACGTCGCTACCCTGGACGCTAATGAAGAAGACCAGGCGGCAGTACTGCTTGCCTTTGGGGACTCATTTTTCACATCACCAAAAAGTAATTTCTGTCCTTTTCGGCCATCTGGTTGACTGGATTGTGAAGATGAAATTCTGTTCAAGGAGTGTTTTAAGAGTGGAGTCTGCTGGGATTCGCATTCCTTTTCTGCTTTCACTGACTTGCATCTGTGCCTCAGTTGCTTGCCTGTAGATAAAACTCTCCTAGGACACCATATCTTTATTATACAAAATGTTATTTCTAAGGTATACTACACATCATGGTAGATATATATTTAGTTAAAGTTAACTTATTCAATTTTTAAAAATATTATTAATGGTAGCATTAAAAATAAATGCTGTGGTATGGTTATAATGTCTACGTAACACAGTACCTATTAATATAGTTCATATCATCTAACTTGCTCTATTATATTTAGGATATAGTGTATGTAGAAGTTTATATAAAGAAGCTTTCTATTTCATTATCTTATGCATTTTACATGTGGGTATCACATCTAATAGCACAATGCTATGATCTTATATTGAATATCAATGTTCCTTTCTTTGCATTTAGAGGCTGTGTTATATTCTTCCTTATATAGCAAATAATGAATTCAAGTGATGGTGATAAGATCACTTATTGTAAAATTGTTAATAATGTGCATACCTCCTAATTTATTCTGACCAGAAGGCATCTAATACAGTTTCATTATACAAATCTTAAGTACTTCCTACAGCACTCAGCTGGCTACAGTGTGGGTTATGTTCTCCTTATAGATGCTTAAGGACCTCTAGACTGATTTGGAGAGCTACTATCAAGTGTAGGAATTAAAAGTATCCTGGCTACTTACCAGGAAATTTCAATTTTACTAATAATGTGTAAAATGTACCAGTGTTGTTTGTATAGATCATTGCTGCAGTTTGCTTTTGCTGGCATGATTATGAGTATCTATTCTACTTCCTTCCGTCTACAGTTCCACCAAAGATCTCCAACATCTCCTCGGATGTCACTGTGAATGAGGGCAGCAATGTAACCCTGGTCTGCATGGCCAATGGGCGCCCTGAACCTGTTATCACCTGGAGACACCTTACACCACTTGGTAAGCAACTGGCTACACTCTTAGATAACATATAATATTTAAGATTCTATTGGATCAAAAGGGCAAATGTGCAACCTTTTTATTGAAACTCAGAAAAACTGCGGTATAAACATTGTATAGTGTTCCCATAGTTTTTTGTGTACATCTCTTTAAATAACTTATCTATCTACCTATCTATCTATCTATCTATCTATGTATCTATCTATCATCTATCATCTATCTACCTTGTGTATAAATAGCGATACATAAAATTGTCATTCAAAATCGACTAACCCTCAAAGAAACAATTATAAGAACATCAAATAATGCAAACACATACCTATATACAAGGTTATGTAACATTAACCATCAAAGAAAAAGAGACTATCAACTTGAGGGCACCTGGTATAGGAGGGGCTGAAGAGATGAATGGAAGGATGTGGAAGTGATATAATTTATTTCAAAAAAGACATTTTAAAAATAAAGTGTATTTCTAAAATATACAACATTTTTTTGTGGTTCAGTGTCTTTGGGAAATGTTTTTTTCAATATACCATTTTACACAAGTTTTTAAGGACATTTCAATCTTGGTTTCCTATGGAGTTTCCTCCTTTATGGTAGCTCCATGTGCATAAATTAGGAACAAAAATATCTCTGCTTCCTAGGTCCGGACTTGGCTTCTACCTCTGTGATGGTTGAATAAAACAGGCTGTGGGAGTATATCACTGAATCCAGATAATGACACTAATTCAGTTAAATTCATAATATGACTTCCTTAGAATGTGTTCTGCACCCTTCCTGTCCCCCTTTTGTACTACCCTCATCTTTACTAGGTCCCAAGGCTCTCCTGGTTTGTGAACACACTTTTAACACTTTACCTGATGATTCAGGATTAATTAGCTGCATCCTTCCCTCCTATTCAAATTTTGCTTTCTTCTATGTAGGTCTATGTGTTTTCAAATACCACAATTTATAAGTAATATACCTGCTCTTTCATTATTATATTATTTCCTCTTTTATTCCAAAAAGGTTTATCAAGTCAATTATAAATCAATTATAAGTAGATTATTCTTAGAAAATAATTTATTTTAGTAAAGATTCTCATCTTTTAACTGGCTTATATGTGATAGTCTCTTATAGTTTCTCTTTTTAAAAATGTCTAGACACTTAATTTCCATGGTAAGTGACTTTGGAATGTACACATATAAAACTACGTGTACAATGAGACACAGCCTGAGACCATGGTAGTGTTTGATTACAGTGTTTCTAAATATTTCTTCATTTTTTTGTGGCAAGATAATAGACAACCTCCATTTGACATCATAGTCCAAATTAATTTCCAGGGAAAATTTGGCTCAACTTTGTAAAAATGCTCTTCCGTTTAGCCAAACAGTCGTTTAGAGAACTCTATTTTCAAAAGAAAATCCTATTCAAACATCATCCGTATTATGTACATTTCCCATCATTTATTAATAATACATAAAAGCATTAAAGAGATACGTATTTGGGGATATCAATATCAAATACATTCCCTCACAGACTCACTTTGTACCTCACATGGAAAAAACACACAGATAGTCATCGAGAACATAGCTTTTTGGAAGTTGCACATCTTTTTCTAGAAATAAATAAATTCTTCAGAGTACTTTCTTCCTGAAAAAGTCACATTATAACCAAATTACTCTATCTACCTGTTACTAAGTGTAACAATGTTGTTTTCAGCTACTGGCAATTTAACTTTAAAATACTGTCCTGTATTTAAATATTTTGACAAAGACATATAAAATCATCCTGTTTACTATAATGTTATGGAAAATGCATTCAAATCCTTCCATAGTTTTACTTTGAAAAGTCTCTTTCTGAAACTTGCCTCTTTGTTTTCAGTATCTCTACTTGTCTTTCCCAAAGCAATGGTTTGTTTCTTGCAGATCCAGAGAACTTATATAAATTATCACAAACCCTTCATTGCATTGACTGTTGGTAGACTTGCCACTCAATTTATGGCCAATCTGTTAAGAACATAAATTATTTTATATAAATTACAGATCCATAAAATTGATTTCTGACACTCCACTTAGGTGTTTATGGCCTCAAATTCATATACAAACCACACTCCTGTTTTCACGTGATTATTTTTAACTTGTCTCACCTTTTGTAATCAAATTTAAATTAATATAAATATTTTATTAATATTTTAATGTCATTCAAGGGCCAAGTAGTAGATTAAAAAATAAAAAATGTAAGATTAAAAGAATTTATATTCATGCTATGATCAATAAGGCACCATATTAAAAGAAAGACACTCCTTCTTTTAGTGAAAGTAGGAAATAGTATTTTCAGGGCAAATTGTTCACTTGAACCTCCAAATACTCCTTTTTTGTCTTCACATTTAGAAACATTCTGAGATAGAGACAAACCATCAAGCTCTTTGGTAGTTTGTTGTCATGAAAATAGACCTTCAAGATCAAAAGTACTTAGTTCACAAATTCTAAAATACATTAATTTTCCCTTAGATTACAATGTATACAACTCTGCTTGAGACCATAGCCAGAGACATAATCAAAGATTTACCAAAATCATACTTAGTCCATAGGGTTTTGTATGAACCCTGAAGAGCATGGTTTCTGTAATGATTCAATTAAAACTAAGATCAGGGGACCAGTGGCACTTTGCATAGTTAAGACAGTACTTCATGTACTTCCAGGACTCTGACTTCCAAACCAACTACAAAAATTGGATGTACTCACAAGGATGCCCATGAGTTAAATACCAGGGGTGAGCACATTATAGCCTGTGTGCCTGGACCTGTCATGTACTCACTGCCAGAAAGCAATAGTGGTTATATTATTTCCTGAATAGTTACAATAATCAAAGGAATCCTGAATTTTAAATACAAAACAAATATATGAACTTCAAACTTGATACAGATGCATAAAGTTTTGAGCAAACATTGCCATGCTGAATTACTTGCATTTGATCCATGACTTCCTTTGATCTAAAACAACATCCTTTGGTAACAACAAAAATACTTAGTTCACAAAACCCAAAATACATTATTTTTCCCCCTTGGGTTACAATGTATACACCTCTGCTTAAGACCATAGCCAAAGACATAAACAAAGATTTACCAAAGTCGTGCTTAGTCCATAGGGTTTTGTGTGTATCCTATGTCAGGTTTCTCTGTTCCTCTATGGCTGTATATGCAGGCCTTCTCTTTAGATCAAGTTGTATATTTGTGCACATGGAACATCTCCTTTTTGTATTTGCACACTCAGTATCAAATCATTCTTCTCCTTACAATAAACATATATCACTTTCCAAGCTTGCTCTTTCATCTCTCACACAAGGCGTAAATAACCAAATAATCACTTGACCAAATACGTCTTCCTACTGACAGGAGTGAGAACTTGACTTGTCTTCTCTTAGAGAGAGAGAGAGAGTGAGAGAGAGATTGAAAATTTGGAGAAGGGTCATCTTTTTAGGCAATCCAGTGCCACCTTTTGTGGAGACATCTGAGAAAGAGACTTGCTACCAGTGTGACAGCTGAGCTGCCTGCAAAATATTGCCATGTGATATAGTGAAAATCCAGCCTGCTTTGTTCAATTATTAATTGTGCCTTTCACAGTACAGAGTGGGACTACCTTCCAGAGGAAATGTACCTGTGATTAGCTAGACCCCACAGGGGACACAGAGACCTGAGAGGAGAAAATGCCATGCAGAGAATCACAAATGTCTGATTACTTGTCATTTGATGCCATGAAAAGGGAACAAGAAAGAAAAAAATGAATGGTGTAATTTTTGAAAAGAATTTTATCTCAATTCATTTTTTATATTTGAATGTTTTGATTAGATTATTTTGTTTCTCCTTCTTTTGATCCTTTCCCTCCAAGTATACTGCAAACATTTTAAAGAAGGAAACTGGAAGTATCATAAACTTTCTATGTATTCAAAATCAAGATATTCAAAATCAAGATATTTAAAATCAAGATACCTCACTTGAGAGACCAATCTTAAAATCCCGAATTGTTAAACTGATCTCATCTTTCAGTTATTGTATATCATCAAAATGAGTGTCACATGTGTGGTTATTAAATATGACCTATTTTTCTCTCATGATTAAGTTAGACTTTCATAGCCCTGTGGTTGCTGGGGATTACTGCACCATAAAATGTATTTTGTGCGGCACTTTTGCTCCCCCTTCCTGATCAGTGCCTCGTTCATCATCACCATCGCATGGCTCTCTGCTTCTGGCACTTTCTTCCAGCCATCATGAGGAAACCTTTCTCTCAAATGTGCCTCATGTGGTGTCAGGAGCTCTAGGTCAAGTTTGCAGAAAGAGATGGTGTCCCTTCAGTTTCTATAAAGGTTTTCACAGCCTCAGTAGCTTTTTCTCCCTAGAAATTTCAAAAAGTATTCCGAGGATTTTATTTCCATAGGCTGATGAGATCAGCTCAAGATATACTATGTAACTTTCCTAATAAGCTAGAAGCAAAGTTTTATACCAATGGAGACAATAGAAATCTTACTTAAGAAATGTTTTGCTGCATGGCTTTGGAATAAACATAAAACGTTAAACCAAGTCATTACTTTATGTCAAAGGTCACAAGTACATACTCCTAGTACTTCCTTTTTGAGATATCATGTTAGTTTAGTGTGACCTCATATTTAGCATAGAGAATATGTATAATTTGTGGTTTAGATTTTATAAAACTATTTCTCTGTACCTTCATGCTAGGCATCTCCCCAAGGGCCCACTGAGTGAATATTGGTAGCATACAGGTGCAGAAGATTCAAATCTATAAACTTTTTGGGTAAAGCCTGCTAATTCCACACTGACAACTCACAGCAGAATAGAGCTACAACATGGCCTGCAAAGTGCTATTATACCTTGCATTATTTATAACTAATATTCCATATTTCCTTTAAAAAACAAAATAAAGAAAAATAGTGTGGATTTTTTTTTCAGTGTCTAACAAAAATATTGGTTTCCAGTTTTGTCTTCCATTAATAGGGAACTGTGT